GGCCAAGAACTCAATAATCATCATTGTGACTGATAGCATACCATATACCAGTCATCTTATAGTTCACACCAGCATGAGAAGTAGAAAATGTGTTAGAAAATATCACTCAGGCGGTTGGGCACGGTGGCTCATGCCTGTAATCCCAGCGCTTTGGGAGGCTAAGGCAGGTGGATCACCTGAGGTCAGGAATTCAACACCAGTTTGGTCAACATGGTGAAACCCTGTCTCTAGTAAAAATACAAAAATTAGTCTGGCATGGTTGCAGGCACCTGTAATCCCAGCTACTTGGGAGGCTGAGGCAGGAGAATCACTTGAACCTGGGAGGCAAAGGTTGCAGTGAGCAGAGATCACGCCATTGCACTCCATTCTGGGCCACAGAGCAAGACTCCATCTTAAAAAAAAAAAAAAAAAACTAAAAAAGAAAGTATCAAACTAGCACTCAGGCCAGGTGCAGTGGCTCATACTTATAATCCCAGCACTTTGGAAGGTCAAGGCAGGTGGATCACTTGAGGTCAGGATTTCGAGACCAGCCCGACCAACATGGTGAAACCTTATCTCTACTAAAAATACAAAAATTAGATGGGTGTGGTGGCATGCACCTGTAATTCCAACTATTCGGGAGGCTGAGGCACGAAAATCTCTTAAGCCCAGGAGGCAGAGATTGCAGTGAGCCGAGATTGCGTCACTCTGCTCCAGCCTGGGTGACAGAGCAAGATGCTGTCTCAAATAAATAATTAAATAAAAAATTAAAAAATGAAACGTTTAAAGAGTTAAAATGCCTCCAAACATGCATACACTGCTTGAAATGGCAATAATGCCTCTAAGCATTTGATTAAATCACAACTTTAATACTTCTAAGTGTTGGGTTTTTTTTTCTTCAGGGTTTTTGTTTGTTTGTTTTTTCCTGAGACAGGGTCTCTCTCTTACCCAGGCTGGAGTGCAGTGGCTCCATCATCGCTCACTGAACACTCCAACTCCTGAGCTCAAGCAATCCTCCCACCTCAGTCTCCCATGTAGCTGGTATTACAGGCTTGCAAGACCATGCTCAGCTAATTTTTCTATTTTTTTTATACAGATGGGGTCTCATTTTGTTGCTCAGGCTGGTCTCAAACTCCTAGGCTCAAGTGATCGCTCACCTTGGCCATCCAAAGTGCTCAGATTCCAGGTGTGAGCCACTCCACCCAGTCCTGAAATGTTCTTAAATTCTTTCAAAGTAGCAAAATTTATATTAAAACATTCAAAACATGATGAGCTCCCTTGCTCTACAAGGATTTACAAGTAGAATCAATTAGGTGGACAGTTATAGCTGACATTTGACAGAGAGATAGTTATAGATGGAGGTAGGTATAAAGGGAAGGAGGCAAAAAGAGTTAAGGAACTGGACACCTGAGAACTGTCTACAGGTTCCAAAAACAAGACAAAGAGAGAACCTTTTATTCTCTGCCAAGAGGGACAATCTCTATTGATACTGCTCTGCCTTTCGTTTTTATGTGTCAAAGACACTTAAATTGGCCTATAATCCCAGCACTTTGGGAGACCGAGGCGGGCAGATCACCTGAGGTCAGGAGTTCAAGACCAGCCTGGCCAACATGGTGAAATTCCGTCTCTACTAAAAATAAAAAAATTAGCCAGGCGCGGTGGCGCGCACCTGTGATCCCAGCTACTAGGGAGGCTGAGGCGGGAGGATCACTGGAACCTGGAGGCAGAGGTTGCAGTGAGCCGAGATCGTGCCACTGCACTCCAGCATGGACAACAGAATAAGACCCTGTGGGAAAAAAAAAAAAAAAAAAAAGACACTTAAATGGGTCCCAAGAAAAAAGGAAAAAAGAATATTGTGATGTGTAGGGCAAGACAAGAACTAGATGGTCTAAGGACAAGCAAGGCTGGGGAAGTACCTTCTGCCCATCCAAATTACAAGGAAAACAGATGCTTTGGGCAAGAGTCCAAGAACAATCACAGACTTGAGGCAAATGTAGGGTTACGGGCTGAGAATTCTTGGTGTAAAGGTTGAAAAACTGACCTTAAACCTTTACGGGACACTGACACAGAGAGGTCGAACCCGCGCCCAGGACGCACAGTCAGTGAGGCGGAGCTGGGAAGGGAACCCTGAGCTCCAGGCTTCGGCGCCTCCACCTACACCTGCCCTACCCGGTGCGTTTTCTCCTCCGTGCTGCCTGCTGGTGGTGCTTTCTGGAACCTCGGCAGTTTCTGCTTTTGCACCTGCAGGGTTTAGTCTCGGGCTGCTTGGGAGGACACCGGGAATGCAGAAGGCAGAACTACACACCGGGCGAGTGCACCAGCGCCACCAAACCCCTGAAAACCCGAGGCCGCCGCGCGACTCCATTTCCCAACGCCCCGCGCGGCGGGGGCTTGGGCGTTGCCAAGGAGACCGGCAGTGGCCCCGCCTCCACGCAGGGAAACAGGCGGGAACCACATGACCCGGAAGGCTGTGCGCAAGCGTCCGCGGCGCGCATTGGGCCAATGAGAACCGAAGGGCTGGAGTTCCGGCGGTGGGACTGTCATTGGTCGCCCGCGTCAGGCCATACCGGTGGTCTGTGCTGGGGCCCGCGGGTCGGGGCCAGTTTCCAGGAGGTTCCCGGGGCCCGAGGCTGGCGGCGAGGAAGGTACTGGCTGAGGGCCCGCGTCGGGCCCGCCCTGCGCACGCGTCGTGATCAAGGGCGCCGGCCACCGGCCGCGCCCCCAAGCCTCTGTTTCTCAGAGTGCGTTGTGGGCGTCCCGGGGACTGTCGGGCCGCGGCGGGAGCCATGCGCTCTCCCACGGTGCGGCAGGCCAGGAGGCTGCGCGCTGGGCGTTCCACGTCCCTGACTGGCGGGGAGGCTGAGGCGCGGGGCGGCCCTGGGACGCTGCGGGCGGGGATGGCGGTGCCGGGTGGTTCACTCCTTTCTTCCCTCCCAGCTGCGGGATTCGGTGGCAGCGCTGACAGACCCGCGTCGGGGAGGCGGGGAAGCCCCTGCTCCCGCAGACCGCGCCCCCACGGAGGGAGGCCGCTTCCTAGACCTCGCCTCGTTGTCTTTCCTCTCCCCGCCCTGGGGGGTTGCGGGGGTCAGTGCAAACCCCTGTGTCCAGGGCACCGGTGGGCTCCCGACTTCCGGCAGTCAGGGGGCTGAGGTCCTGAAGGAAGCTCCGAGGGGAGAGTCCTGCGTGTGCAAAACCTGGGAGGGGAGCCGGAGCCCAGGAGCTTCTGGGACTGAGCGCTCTCGATGTGGAGCTGGGGGAGAGGGGACGTGTGTGGCTGCAGTAGCAGGCGAGGAGGTGGGCTTTATCGCGAGGGCGTCGGGAGACAGAAGTTTTGAACAGAATCAGGACATCCTCTGAGTTGGGGTTTTAAAACGGTTCCACCGTTTGTTGCGTGGAGAACAGACATGCAGGGGTGTCGGCATGAAGGGAAGAACCGACTGCCACAGTCTGGGCAGCAGTGCAGGTGAGCGGCCAGGTGAATTCTGGTGGATCTGCGGATGCATCAGGTGTGGGCTGTTTGAAGAACGAACTGCTCCATGTTGTTCAGCCTGAGCGCCTGGAAGAAGGGAGCCGCTGTAGACAGGAGAATTGAAGGGAAAGTAGGTTTCCTTTAGGGGGAAAGCTCGGGAGTCTGAGATGTTCTAGGTTGGTCATGTCACCGGACCTGACGTTGTTGGTGTCCTGGGCCGAGGACAGGGCCTATGAACTGGACTAAGGAATGGGTAGGGACTCAGCCAGGTGTGGGCAGTTATGGCTTGAGGGTGAAGAAGACCAGCTGGGATGACTGGGGCTATTGGGAAGAGCCTAGCACCCAGCTGAGGAGGGAAGGGTGGCAACAGAGGGGAAGAAAGAGAGGGGACACCGTGGAAAGAGGAAGGGATTGAGTTCCTGTGTTCACAGGTTCTTGGGGCTGCTCCCCTGTGGCGACTGGTGAAAATCATCCAGTCCCTCAGGTTGGATAAGCAGCCTGGAAATGTCTGGCAAGCAGGCTCAGCAGGGGAGGGTCCCAGTGATGGGTATGCCTGGGAAGCCCCAGCTGGGACTTACAGAGTTTCTTGTTCCAAGAGCAGGAAAGGCGCATCTGGTCATGCTGAATCATGAGTGGATACCTGGGGCTGCCCTTGGTGTGGCAGCTGAGGGCTCAGCCAGGGCTTGCTCTAGTTTGCTTGTGTATGGCGTGGCCAGTGGGGAGGCCAAGAAGGCATCTGGGATCTGGTCAGGGAGGGCAGAGGGGAGGGTTCCCAGACATGTGAGGGAAGTGCCATCTGAAGATGGTGGGGGCAGAACCCAGGGAAGGAGGGTGAGTGTCTGAGGGACATCATGGGAGGTGGCTGTTGGGATGGGGAGCTTGGTCCTGGCTCACAGCCATACCTTAAACCAAGCTTGTCCAACCACGGCCCAGGATGGCTTTGAATGCAGCCCAGAACAAGTTCACAAACTTTCTTAAAACATGAGATGTTTTTGCAAATTTTTTTTTCTAGCTCATCAGCTGTCATTAGTGTATTTTATGTGTTGCCCAAGACAATTCTTCCAGTGTGGCCCAGGGAAGCCAAAAGATTGGATAACCCAGCCTTAGACCATGCCTGTCTCCTCCTCCCTGCTCTTTTAGGACCAGATGGCCTTCGAGGATGTGGCTGTGTACTTCTCCCAGGAGGAGTGGGGGCTCCTGGACACAGCCCAGAGGGCCCTGTACCGCCGTGTGATGCTGGACAACTTTGCACTTGTGGCCTCGCTGGGTAAGGTCCTGGATACTCTATGAAACGGGCAAATTGATGAGAAGCTGACTATCCAGGACTGCCCCTCACCTCCCTGGTGGCTGACGAGCAGGCCCATACCTTGCAGCCAGGGGTCATGTGGAATAGGGGTCTGGTCTTGTAGACATGCAGTCTGGTTGGCTCAACCACTTCCTTTGGCCCTGTCCGGCTGTGGCTTCTCCAAGCCTGGGCTCAGTCCCCTTCCTTTGGTGCTCTGGGCACAGTTGCTGCCTTGGGGTGAGTGAGCTATTCCTGTGAGCCCCTTGCCCTGTGCCATCTTTAGATTCTCCTGTTGCACAGATGACGTTTTCTGTTTCCATGAAGCCCTGACTCCTGCCCTCTGTTTGGAGGTCGGTTGTCTTGAGCTGGGGCTGGACTCTAACCTGTACCTCCTCCTCATAGGACTCTCCACCTCTCGACCTCGTGTGGTCATCCAACTTGAGCGTGGCGAGGAGCCCTGGGTTCCCAGCGGAACGGACACGATCCTGTCCAGGAACACCTACAGGAGGCGCAACCCTGGTGAGTGGGAGCTCAGGGTGGGGTGAACTCGGGAGCAACCTGTGGCCACACCTCTGTCCCTGCTTCCCGGACTCCCCAGAAGCACCCTCCTCACCTGCCTCCCACCTGATTCCCTTCCCTTCTATCATCAGCCCCTCCTGGAGGCTGCAGCCTTAGCTGCCCTTGAGGGTGGCGCTCCAAGGGCACAGGAGCTGGGTTGACACAGAAGGGTACTCAGGCTGTGGTGAGACTATCTCAGAGTCCTGCCATCAGCTGGGCTGGCCTCAAACCCTCCATGGCTAGTCACTGCCATAATTTTTTTTTTTTTTTTTTTTTGAGACTGAGTCTTGCTCTGTCGCCCAGGCTGGAGCGCAGTGACGCGACCTTGGCTCACTGCAAGCTCCGCCTCCCGGGTTCATGCCATTCTCCTGCCTCAGCCTCCCGAGTAGCTGGGCCTACAGGCACCCGCCACAGCACTCGGCTAATTTTTTGTATTTTTAGTAGAGACGGGGTTTCACCGTGTTAGCCAGGATAGTCTGGATCTCCTGACCTCCTGATCTGCCCGCCCCAGCCTCCCAAAGTGCTGGGATTACAGGCGTGAGCCACCGCGTCCGGCGTCACTGCCATAATTAATGGGTCATATCTTTCACCCATCATTCATCTTTGTGTTCAGTAAACGTTTCCTGAGTGCTCACAGTGGCCAGGCCCATTCCAGACAATGTAGGCACAGCCTCAATCAGGATGATCCTAGTCCTGTTTTTCTGGGGCTCCTGGTGTGGTGGGAGAGGGAGGCAGTAAGCAGGATTCAGGAGTATAGAGCACTGGATGGAAGTCATTGCACGAGCAGGTTGGGGAGTGGGTGCCTGAGCCGGGGGGACCATAGGTGAGCAATGGACAGGAGATGGGCGGAATAGCCAGTGTGGAGATGTATGTGGCATGCAGCAGCCGCTCAGTTTTCTCAGCTTCACATCCCGGGTGTCTGGGGGCTGCCGTCTTGCTCATGGGAGTCCCCAGTGTAGTCAGTGCCACACCTGTCAGGGCAGATGGTTCCTTCAAACCCCAGCCCTCTCCTGGAGGGCCGGCCTGGCCTCTACTTTTCCCCTAAGCTTTTGTGTCAGCCCCCCTGCCCCGGTTCCTTCTTGCCTGTCCACTCAACCTGCCCTGGTCCTCTCCTAACCAGGATGCCCCCGGCAACCACCGTTTCTCTGCCTTTAGGTTCCTGGAGTGTGGCAGAGGATGGAGATGTTTCTGGAGAATGGCCACGAGCTTTCCCAGATACCCCACCTGGGATGACTACTAGCGTCTTCCCAGTTGCCGGTGCCTACCACAGTGTAAAAAGCCTGCAGCGACAACGGGGTGCCTCCCCATCTCGGGAGAGAAAACCCACAGGGGTGTCGGTGATCTACTGGGAGAGACTCCTGCTAGGCTCGGGCAGTGGGCAAGCCAGCGTCAGCCTGCGACTGACCTCCCCGCTTAGGCCTCCTGAGGGCGGCCCGCTTAGGGAAAAGACCCTCACAGAGCACCCGGTGCCTGGGAGGAGGCCCAGGACCCCTGAGCGGCAGAAGCCATGTGCACAGGAGGTCCCTGGGAGAGCCTTCGGGAATGCCCCGGATCTGGAGGCCGCCAGCGGTCGAGGGCATCATGGAATGGGTCCGACTTGGCAGGAGCCTCAGAGACTCCTCGGTGGCCAGGAACCTTCCACCTGGGATGAGCTGGGCGACGCTCTCCCCGCTGGGGAGAAGTCCTTCGAATGCAGGGCGTGCAGCAAAGTGTTCGTGAAGAGCTCCGACCTCCTCAAGCACCTACGCACCCACACCGGGGAGCGGCCCTACGAGTGCGCCCAGTGCGGCAAGGCCTTCAGCCAGACATCGCACCTGACGCAGCACCAGCGCATCCACAGCGGCGAGACGCCCTACGCCTGCCCCGTGTGCGGCAAGGCCTTCCGGCACAGCTCCTCACTGGTGCGGCACCAGCGCATCCACACGGCCGAGAAGTCCTTCAGCTGCTCCGAGTGCGGCAAGGCCTTCAGCCACGGCTCCAACCTCAGCCAGCACCGCAAGATCCACGCGGGCGGGCGTCCCTATGCCTGCGCACAGTGTGGCCGCCGCTTCTGCCGCAACTCGCACCTGATCCAGCACGAGCGTACGCACACGGGCGAGAAGCCCTTCGTGTGCGCGCTCTGTGGTGCCGCCTTCAGCCAGGGCTCCTCGCTCTTTAAGCACCAGCGCGTGCACACAGGCGAGAAGCCCTTTGCCTGCCCACAGTGCGGCCGCGCCTTTAGCCACAGCTCCAACCTCACCCAGCACCAGCTCCTGCACACGGGCGAGCGGCCCTTCCGCTGTGGGGACTGTGGCAAGGCCTTCGCCAAGGGCGCTGTGCTGCTGAGCCACCGGCGCATTCACACGGGCGAGAAGCCCTTCGTGTGCACGCAGTGTGGCCGCGCCTTCCGTGAGCGCCCGGCCCTCTTCCACCACCAGAGGATCCATACCGGCGAGAAGCCCGTCCGGCGATCCAGGGCCAGCTTGCACCCCCAGGCCAGGTCTGTTTCCGCGACATCATCAGAAGGTGCGCCAGGGAAGGAAACCGAGCCCACTCCCGCCTCGGGCCCAGCCGCAGTCTCGGAGCCAGGGGAGGTCTGAGGTCACAGGTTGCAGCCCTGGCCTTGTGTGAATCCCGTCCACAGCTAAAGGGCATATGTCCTCTGCAGATCCACAGCAGAGAAAAAGCCCCGTGCTTGCTAGTCAGGGCTTTGGCTGTGATTTCATTTGCACTTGGGGACAGGATTTGCCAGTTCACCCACAGATCACACCTCCATCCCCAAAGAGGTAGCACTACAGAAGCCTCATGGGGAGGATGTGGTGGCTGAACTCCAGTGGGGCCGAGACTATTCAGAGCCAGTAGGAGGTGGACAGTCACAGCACTGCACTGTGGTGCTGCTTCGTGTGTTGACAGTGGGTGCTAAGGTGAGAGGGATGCGGGCATGGGTTGGGGGGTGGCCTAGAGAAACTTATGACAGCTGCACACAAACTGGCTGCTGGATAGATGCCCACTGAGGGTGTTCTCAACCCACCACTGCCTCTGTTCATCCAAGGCTTCCTAGAGGCCAGCCTAGCAGACAAGAGACCACAAGGGACTGGGGATCAGGGTGTGGGCTCTCAGTGTCAGCCACCTCCTCTGGGAAAAGAAAAGGTTTGGGTCCACTGAACATCATGTTTGCAGACGCTGACAGGTGGGGTCCTAATGAGAGCCAACACGTGCTCACTGCCAGCTCCCGTCCTGAGTGCTGGGAAATTTCTCCTGAAGCCCTGTGAGATGGCTGCTGTGGCTGGTATCCTGACTTGGAAGATGAGGAAACTGACACAAAGGGGAAGGTGAGTTTCCCATGGCACACAGTGGAGTCGGTACCCAAGTCCGGGTGGACTGATCCAGCATCCAGATGCCTCATCTCCTGGGCTGCACTCTGGTTGGTCAGGTATGAGGGCCTGGCCTGGCTTCACACACATAGCCGACTCAGGAGAGGGATGCCCATGGGGGAACATGTGACTCTCAGCTTTGGAAGGACAGAGCTAGGATGATGGCTTTCCAGTGGCACTCGTTCAGGTGTTCGCCCAAGTCTCAGCTTGGCCAAGGCCTGTCACTGACTCGCTTACCAAAGTCGATGTGATGAGGAGCCTTTACACCTGAGGGGATGATGTTAACTTCAGACAAGATGGAGCTGCTCATTTTTGCTGGGTGTGGTGGCCACTTCCCCCCCAGCCCCTGTCTCACCTTACCCCCATTATCCCTCCTCATTTGGAGGCTGGACAGACAGCTGAATAGGAAGGACTTGCTATTACCTAAGGCCATGTGTGACACCCTCCTGAGGACCTCCCCACCCCAGTGTAATGGCCCTGCATGGCCGGGACAGGAAGGTGGACTGGGGGCCATTTGCTTCCTGTGGCCTTCAGCAGACCAGGCCGTGTCCCTACCTGGAGCCTCACCTCCAAGCAAATTCATGTTCTCCTTAATGGGAAAAAAAAAAAACCGACTAGCTTCTGCAACTCGGAATAGGTGTTGCAGCTTCCTGTACAGCAGTTGGGACCTCCAGAGCATAGCCTCTTGTCCCTACTCCAGAGCATGGTTGTTTTCAATAACAGTTCAAAGAGCTTCTCTGATAAAGGTTTCTTTTTAAACGTGTGTGAATGGTAGCAACCTGACACCCATTTCACCCTCATACAATGCAGATGGTATTGAACATACCCTGACATGCCATCAGCGTTTGTCATCATCACAGAAGTTCCTGGACTTGGCTTCAACCTGGGTACCCTCAAGAGGCCACAGAATAGAGATGCAGCCTGTCTGCGGCCCAGGGAGGGAGTGGGATACCTGTATCCTTTTCAGGGCCAGAGGTGGGTTGTGGGAGCCAGGAGCCCGATGAAATGGGATAGAGTGGGGCTGCCTGGAGCAGCAGCTGGGCTAGGAGACGAGGCCTGGTGGATCCTGGCAATGGGAGGATGGTAGGTGGAGAAACCAAGGCAGGGCTGTGTCCCTTCTGCTGCTGAGATAGAGGGCGTGGCCATGTGGTGACCCTGCAAGGCTGCCTCCAGACCAGTGGGCACTCCATCCCATCTTCCAAAATCTTGCAGCTATCCTGCCCTATACACAAAGAGCAGACTCAGGCCCCACTTACTTGATATTGGGGCCAGATTCTTCCATCTGTGAGGAGACACAGAGGACCCAGCTCCCCCGGAGCCTGCAAGACTTGGGCCACCAGAATCCCAGTAGGTCCCTGAACCATTGTCCCCCACTAAGTCTGCAGAGCTGTGAAATGCAGACAATAACCCTTCCCTGCCTGAAAGAGCACTTTTCTGGGGGAGCCCATGGGAGTCAGGAGCAAAAGCATCTGTCAAGTAGATACCCAGAGAGTTACATGAAATCATTTCTGTGCCTTTGATAGATGCTTCTTGAACAAAGTTTCTGCCCTGAGCCCGCCTGACCCCTCAGGCTGGGCTCAGTGCCCTACCTTGTCTTCGCACCAGCCTCCTCCCTCCATCAGGCTCCTTTCCGTATCTGCTTGTGCCCCTGTTGTCCCTCAGTTTGTCCACCCTCTTCCAATCTCCCCCTCCCCAAACCCATGACTGGTCAGTGGCCCCCAGCCTAGGCTCCCGCCTCCACGCAGGTCTTGGCCCCTCAGCTGACCTCCCTCCAACCTCCCTCTCTGCTCTTACTTTTGAGTAGGTAGTGACTGTAAAAGTATCCCCGGGCTTCTAGGTCAAAAGGTCAGACTGAACACCTGCATCTCAGTGGGCTCAGAAATCCACGGAAACCACAGAGGGCAATATTTAAAACACATAAACCCACAAGTATGAGGATGGTGAAAGAGGAGTCAGGAGCAATGGCATGCCTAAGCTAGACATGGATGAGAGCTGTCACTACGTTAGGGAAGGCCAAATACTGCGTGGCGACTTGGGGAAGTGGAGAGAGTTCCCACCAGGCTGACTCCAGAACTGCAGAAGGCTGAGAACCAGCAGCCCAGAGACGGGAGACCTATAACAAAGCTGCCTGGGGAACAGCTACTGAAGGAGCCCTTAACGCCCCACTGCTCTCCCCACCTGGTGGAGGGTGAAAGTTTTTTTGTTTTCTGAGACTACGCATAGTCCCAGAGAAAAGACCTAAGCACCTCATCCCCAAAAACAACCTGAGGCGGCCTCTGGAAAGCTCCGAGTTGACAGGTCTTACCCACGCACATGCTCAGTGCTTCAAATCAGCGATTAAGGCCATTGCTTTTCATCCGGAGCAGGCAGCAGGGATTCCCAGGTATCCAAAGAAACCAAAACAGGTGGTGTAATTTAGGACTGAATAATTCATGGCTCGGCCACTTTAAGTGTGGAAGCAAAACTGACCCCACAGATACAGAAAACTAACACTGCTTATTGGGAGACACTAGTGTCACCCTGTCTAGTTCTGCTCCCCAAATTAAATAAAAGGGAAATAAACAGTTGAGCACGTCCCATCAGCCTGGAGGGAAACTTCCGCCCCCAGGACTGACATCTTTGTAGTCCTGACATCTGAAGACGTCAGAGGCTGCGGTCACAACCGTCGGTACCTCCTCAGGGCGCTTAACAGGTCAAAGAAGGCCCTCGCACCCTCCCGCCGGGAGAAAGCCCAGGCTCAGGGTGGTCTTCCACGCCACCGCCTCTCCCGGGACCACTTGGAAGCAAGCGCCAGCGAACTACTCGACCCAGGAAACCACTGGGCCGCCACTTAAAGCCTCTTCGGAAGTCGAGGCAACGCGCCTGAAGGTTGCCATGGGAACAGCTGGAGGCGGGCGGATATGCCCTGTTTTCCGGGGACTGCCCGCGGGAAATGGCGTGGGAGCGGCGAGGGCCAAGCAAGCGCCCCCTCTGATTGGGTAAAACCTCCTGCCTCTCCCCTCACCTGCCAATAGGAACCGGTCCACTGTACAGACGCGCGGGTTCACAGCATGGGGAGAGCTGCTCCCAGGGCGGAGGGAGTCCATATAACGCGGACTCTGCGGCACCTCCTAGAGGAACAGAGCGCCTCTCCGGCCTCAAAGGCTGCTGCAAATGCTAGTCCGCGGGCCACGGCCGCGCCTGTCTTGCGGACGCTCATGGGAAACGTAGTTCAAAGGGCGTGGGTGGTGCCTTCGGTGCAGGCGAGAGATTGGTCGACGCGGCGTCGCCGGGGCAACTCCCGGCTAAGGCTCCCCGCGTTGCGCGGCGCCGCTTCCGGGAAGCGGCCTCCCAGCAACGGCTCCGGGGTAGAGGTGAGCGCAGGCTGCCAGAGGCGGCGCAGCCGTTCCACCCCGTGGGAGGGTTTGGGGCCGCCCTCGGGCCTGCACAGCTCCTGCTCTCGGCGCCCTGGGGGCCCGCCCACCTCCGGACAAGCCCCGCGCGTTGGCTCAGCCCGCACACGGGCCTTTCCTCCCCCTCAACACCGCTCCGGGGGGCCGGCCCGGGCACGTCCTCTTGGAACACCTCCCTCTTGCCTTCCCCTTTGGGAAACAGACCCCGAAGTTCGAGCATCCCTCGGATAGGCCGGGTATCAGGCCTGGTCTCTCAGGCCAGTCCAGGTGGGCGTGTTTCACTCCAGACCCTCAGGGCCGGGATGCTGTGGCCATCCCTCGACGCACGCAACGTGGAGCGTTTGCCTTTCGTTTTTACATGCACGGGCCCCGGCAGTGTGAGTCATCCACGGTTCGCTGTGGTCAGCGAGCACGGTGTCCACATCGGCCCTTGCCTTGCCCCATAGGCCCCACGTGACCCCTCCCCAGAGCCAGTCCTAAGGGAGGTCCCACCCAGTCAACATCCCCGAGATTGTGGAGGGAGACTTGCCCCCATACTTTACAGCCTGGCTCCACCTTCTAGCCCCTGCCTCCCTGGACCACTCTCCTCCCACCTCGGCTAGGCACTGGAACTCTGATGACTGTTCTTCTCCACCTCTTTACCGTCATCTTCTAGCAGTCACCTATTGGACCTGTTTGCAATTTCCGGGAAGCTCCTTGGACACCTTGCGTCCAAGCATTTGTCCCCGAGACTTCCTCCTGCCCTCATTTGCCATCATTGTTTAGCTCCTGTGACCCTCCTCCTTCCATGAAGCTTTCTTGGCTTTACCTCCTCTGGCCTCAGAGTACACTTGGTCCTGGTCTCAGCTCCCTGGGCGGGGCCTGGTGTCTGCCTTTCCCTGGCCAGATTCTCTTGGCTGACATTCTGACCCTTCCTTTTCTGTAGGCCCATCTTGACGATTCCAAGACCACCCCCTTGAGCAAAAATGCCATCCCCTCTGGGTCCCCCATGCCTGCCCCTCATGGACCCAGAGACTGCCCTCGAGGAGCCTGAGACTGCCCGCCTCCGCTTCCGAGGGTTCCGCTACCAGGAGGTGGCAGGTCCCCGAGAAGCCCTGGCCCGGCTGCGTGAGCTGTGTCGCCAGTGGCTGCAGCCTGAGGCACACTCCAAGGAGCAGATGCTGGAGATGCTGGTGCTGGAGCAGTTTCTGGGCACACTGCCTCCCGAGATCCAGGCCTGGGTGCGCGGTCAGCGGCCAAGCAGTCCTGAGGAGGCCGCTGCCCTAGTCGAAGGACTACAGCATGACCCTGGGCAACTGTTGGGCTGGGTGAGTGTGGCTGGCATCAGCTTCTTGGAGGGATAGACCCTGGCTAGAACCCTTTTGACTTATTTCTTCTCCTCAGATCACAGCCCACATCCTGAAGCAGGAGGTGCTCCCTGCAGCTCAGAAAACAGAGGAACCATTGGGGAGCCCCCACCCCTCAGGGACAGTGGAGTCCCCTGGAGAGGGTCCCCAGGACACCAGAATAGAGGGGTCTGTCCAGCTCAGCTGCAGTGTGAAGGAGGAGCCCAATGTCGATGGACAGGAAATGGGTGAGATTGGGGTCCACCCGGGATGGAAGCTTCCTGGAGGAAGCGGGGACACTCCTGGCTAGGGTGGGAGTCCCAGGAGAGGTTGTGTCAAGGCCGGGACTCCTGAAATGAATGTGGATGTCCCTGTCTGGGATGGGGCCCTGGGAGGCAGGAGCCAAGGGCTGGCTACGTGCCATGTCACACAGCAGAGGATTTCCTTGTCTGCCATGGCTCATGTGGGCAGCCCCTGACACCCACCTTTCCATCTGCCCCACTTTTCAGCACCCTCTAGCCCTCCACTTGCAGTGCAGTCCCCTGAGGGGCACCATGGACACCAAGAAGCAGCCTCCACATCCTTCCACCCTCCCAGGATTCAGGTGAGCGCTCCAGGTGGGAAGCGTAGGCCCCAGGTGTGGGAAGGGAGTGTCCCCATGGCTGCCCTCTGCCCGGTGGTTTTCCAGGCTCCTTGGCTAGTGACTCTTTGCTGCCCAGAAGTGGAGTGTGTAACAGCTGTACCCCTCCACAGGCCCTGGGGCAGAGGGACAGACTGGTGATCTACTATTGAAAAGGATTTGGGGCTGGACATGGTGGCTCACACCTGTAATCCTAGCACTTTGGGAGGCCGAGGTGGGTGGATCACCTGAGGTCAGGAGTTTGAGGCCAGCCTGGCCAACACGGTGAAACCCCATCTCTACTAAAAATACAAAAATTAGCCAGAAGTGGTGGCAGGCGCCGTAATCCCAGCTTCTAGGGAGGATGAGGCAAAACAATCGCTTGAACCCAGGAGGCAGAGGTTGCAGTGAGCCGAGATCGCACCACTGCGCTCCAGCCTGGGCAACAAGAGCAAAACTGTGTGTCAAAAACAAAAAAAAAAAGGATTTGGGCCTCAAGCCATGAAAATGCAGTTTAGAGTGGCTGGAACTGGTGGGCTTGGCTTCCTCACCTCCGGAGAAATCAGGTGGGAGGTTTGCTGCTCCCAGAGGTCCTGAGCCAGAACCTGGGGATTTGAACGTTTGCGTGTAGCTGGGGAGGGGACAAGATGACCAGCTGTGGCAGGACTCCCCCACACCTGAGACCAGATGGAGACACTCTTCCTGGGACATGCCCAAAGTCCCTTCTCTCCCAGGGGTTTCCTCAGAGGCCACCTGTTGGCCCTGGAAGCTCAGCTTGAGGCCCCTGCTACCTGGATCACTTGGTTCCCAAGTGTGGGCAGCAAGGCCTTTTCCTCTCCCAGCTCCTCTGCTTCTAACAGTTCCACTGGGAGCTTCAGCAGCATTGCTGGTTGAGATGTGTTTCAAGGCTGAGAAGTCCTTCCAGGCTCCCTCCACAGCCCCATGGCACAATCAGAAAGTGAGCCAGGGTGGGTAGGCTGCACTTCCCACAGTGTCCTCACGTCCAGCCAGCACCAGCTCTGGCTGTGGCTCCTCACAGCTGCCACCTTCCTGCGCCTGGACTTGCCACAGCTTGTCCCTCAGGATGATTTTCCCAACCCAGCAAAGCCCCAGATGGTGGGACTCAGGAGGCAAGGAGGGCTGACCCCCAAGCAGGGAGTTCATTCCTTGATAAACTCACTCAGGTCCCTGTAATGCTGCCAGGCCCTCCCTCTCAGCAGGGTGGGGTAGTGGAGGGGGATGAGAGCTAGCAGCCGCACTGGTCAGGTGATCTGAAAGAGGACCCTAGCACTTAACAAACACCCACCTCGAGATCATTCTTAGCAGGAGGGGCAGATGAGGCATAGGTAACCTGCTGACTCCCCCGGGTAGTAAGAATGTGAACCAGATAGGGCAGGGGAGGAGTAGAAGGACACCTACAGTGATGGGCCACATCCGCAGGAGGAGTGGGGGCTGCTGGACCGGTCACAGAAGGAACTGTACTGGGATACGATGCTGGAGAAGTACGGCACGGTGGTCTCCCTGGGTGAGGACCAGCCAGCCCCACCCCGCCCCTCTCCCTGGAGCCTGCACCCACCCTAGCTGGGCAGGGACTCTCTGTTACCAGCCCTACCCAGCTCTCCCACCTTCCAAAGGAACACCCTGTCTCCTGCCAGAACCCACCCCACCCCTCCTTCATGCAAACCCTGCGCCTAACTGTGCCCCCCACCCGGGCAGGGTTACCGCCCCACCAGCCAGAGGCACAGGCCCAGTCAGAGCTGGGGATGCTGCTCATGGGGACAGGCGTCTGCAGAAGTCTGCACTCAGGTGAGTGCCCCACACCATCCAGCCTGAATCACCCCTCCTGTATGGGTGGGACCTGAGCCACCCACTCTTGGGGGGATGGGAGCTTGTGCCACAGCCACAAGCCTGAGGGAGGGGGTGCCGAGTGCCGGAACTCAGCTGGTTTGCCCCTGCCCCCAGGAAATGAGAGTGAGGGTCCACCCGGCTGCCCAGAGGCCCAGCCGCCCCAGGGCCCAGGGCCTGCAGCCTGGGAGGGCCTGCCTGAGGCCACCACTCCTGCCCCCACTGCGCGCCCAGGGACACCACCAGTGCCCACTCAGCCCACACCCACAGAGACGAGACTGGAGCCGGGTACCACCCCTAGGAAGCCCTACACGTGCGAGCAGTGTGGACGCGGCTTTGACTGGAAGTCAGTGTTCGTCATCCACCACCGGACACACACGAGTGGGCCAGGTGCGCAGTCCCCAGGGCTAGCCGCCAGGGAAGGCACAGAGAAGCCACCGCAAGGGGAGCTGGCCTTTCCACGCCACCCCCGACATTCACTCGCAGGCCCCCGGAGCTACCCATGTGAGGAGTGCGGGTGCAGCTTCAGCTGGAAGTCGCAGCTGGTCATCCACCGCAAGGGCCACACGGGCCAGCGGCGCCACTTCTGCAGTGACTGTGGCCGCGCCTTCGACTGGAAGTCGCAGCTGGTCATCCACCGCAAGGGCCACCGGCCGGAGGCTCCATGAGCAGCCACATGGCGCAGTCACTCGGGGCCTCGCTGTTCTCGCGGCCTGGATGCAGCCTCTGGGGCACCAGTAGAAGACTCTGGAGGCAGAAGGGGATGCCGGAGTGAACAGGGGGTCCTAAGCCAGTTCCCTGCCCCTGGTCTGGTCTCCCCCAAAAGACCTGGGTGCAAGGAAAAGGAGCTGCTCCCTCCCTCCTTGCCCCCGCCTCCTGGAGGGAGGTCTGAGTTCCTTTCTGTGGGTGACCAGTGCCTGTGGGGTGACTGCCAGGCACCAGGCTCCCTCCCTCCCCGCGACATGGCCCTGGGATGACAACACTCCCTCTCTGGGACCTCCTTGCCTCAGGTGGGTGTTCACAAACTGTGCCTTCCCACCCCTCTGTGCAGAGGCTGGGCCTGAGGTTTCCGTGTGGAGGGCAGAAGACCCCGGAAAGCCCAATTGGCTTCCGTTTCTCCTGCTCCGTGTGTGTGAGAATTTTAGCATAAATTCCACTTTCATAATACAGAGTTTCTGAATAAGAATCCTGATTTCTGGCTTCTGCTGGTTGGGAAATAGGCAGTTTGCTGTCTCTGCCCAGTAGCTGGAGCCACAGGGCAGTTGGTCCCAGAATGGCGAAACCTCTGTTGCCCCAGAACCCAGGTCCCCAGCCTCCCTTGCTCCTTAGCCGTCCACATCACTCACCAGCCTCACTGGCCTTGGAACTCATCAGTCCCAGCTTGAGTAGACACAAAGGGGATTTCCTTTCCAAGCACGGCTGGACAAGGGGGACCTCTGAGAAGAGGGGCTGCAAGCAGGTGTTACCAAGGCCGTGGTTACTTCCAAGTCAGGTCGCACCCTCCATAGTTAGCTGGTCGTGCAGCAGGAGGGCAAAGGGTCAGCTCCCTGGGAAGCACCGGATCTCTGGGCAGTCACTGGGGACTCGCCAGTGCACTGTATTAGTTTCTTGTTGCTGCTTTAACAAACTTGGCAGCTTGAAACAACAGATTTATTCTCATAGTCTGAAGGTCAGAACTCTGACATGGGTCCCACTGGGCTAAAATCAAGGTTTTAACAGGACTGGTTCCTCTTGAAGGCTCTAGGAGAGAATCATCTGTTTTGTTGCCTTTTCCATCTTCTAGGCAGCCCACGTTCCTTTTGTTTCTTCTTGGTCCCTTCCTCCGTCTTCAAAGCCAGCCACGAGTGGTCACGTCTTCCTTAGGCTGCCTAGGCTGCCAGCTCTCTGGCACCAGTCGATCTTTTGGTCTCCTTCTCTTAAGGACCCTCATCATACCTTGTGCCCTACCTGCACGCTTAGTCACACCTGCAGGATCTCTTTTGCTGTATGAGATGTTCACAGCTTCTGGGGATTGCAGTGGGGAATCCTTGGGCCCCTTGATTCAGCACTCTCCTTCCTACTCTGAAAACAAGGGACATTTTCACAGGGGATGGTTTCAGAAAACAGGTGCCCTCTCGGAAGGAGCCCTCGCCAGCTGCTGGTTTATGCACAAGTTACAGGTGGATATTGAGGGGAGCTGCAACTGTGGGTACCCCAGGAGGGGCTCCCTGGGACAGGGGGCAGGAACCCTGCTGCAGCCTGAAGCTGCAAGAGCAAGGCTCTCCTCAGAGGCCTATCTTCCCCATCCCCTTTTCTGAGGACCTTCTAACCCATTGCTCCCGTGCTCAGGCCTCCGAAAGCAGGGCCAGTTTGGAGATGGAGCTGTGGGTGGGTGATCTGTGAGCGAGCAGGAGGCGAGAGCTGTGCTGGGGACAGAGAGGAAGAGGACAGAGCAGTACCCAGGGGCTCCAGCCAGGCCCCAGCCCCAGAAGGGAGAGCCAGGGTATAGAAGGCTGTGAAAGGGCCAGATCATGCAGGCAGGAAACGCTGCAGGGGGTGAGGGTGGTTTTTTGGTTTTTTTGGTTTTTTTTTTGAGACGGAGTCTCGCTCTGTCGCCCAGGCTGGAGTGCAGTGGCCAGATCTCAGCTCAGTGCAAGCTCCGCCTCCCGGGTTCACGCCATTCTCCTGCCTCAGCCTCCCAAGTAGCTGGGACCACAGGCGCCCGCCACCTCGCCCGGCTAGTTTTTTTTGTACTTTTTAGTAGAGACGGGGTTTCACCGTATTAACCAGGATGGTCTCGATCTCCTGACCTCGTGATCCGCCCGTCTCGGCCTCCCAAAGTGCTGGGATTACAGGCGTGAGCCACCGCGCCCGGCCATGAGGGTGGTTTTTTAATGAACTTTTTCACATTTAGAAGTAATTTATGCTCACTTAGAAAAATCTGAAATATACAAGATGGCACAGAAGATCGTGAAAATGGCTCCTAATTCAACTGTCTCATGGCAATGCTTACTCTAGAAGTTTACACATCGAAGTGTTTGAATGTAAAGTTTCTTGTAAGGCAACTTACATTGTTTCACTTTGGGAGACCAGGAGTTCAAGACCAATGTGGGCAACATGGTGAGACCCTGTCTCCAAAAAGAAAAATGAAAAATAATAGGCTGGGCGTGGTGGCTCATGCCTATATTCCCAGCACTTTGGGAGACCAAGGCAGGTGGATCACTTGGAGTTTGATACCAGCCCGGCCAACATGGTGAAACCTCGACTGTACTAAAAAAAAAATACAAAAATTAGCCAGGCGTGGTGACAGGTGCCTGTAGTCCCAGTTACTTGGGAGGCTGAGGCACAAGAATCACTTGAACCTGGGAGGCAGAGGCTGCAGTGAGCCAAGATGGCACCACTACACTGCAGCCTGGGTGACAGAGCGAGACCATGTCTCAATAATAATAATAATACTAATAATTAGCCAGGCATAGTGGTGCATACCTGTAGTCCCAGCTACTAGGGAGACTGAGGTGGGAGAATCACTTGAGCCCAGGAGGTTAAGGCTGCAGTGAACTCTGATAACACCACTGCACTCCAGCCTGGGCAACAGGATGAGACCCTGTCTGGAAAAAAAATATGGAAATGGGAGACGGAAGGGTAGGTCAGAGGGATGATGGATAAAGTAACCATAAATATTCAAAATAGGAGAGAGACGACCCCACCCTATGGAATGCTTCACAAATGTGTGTTTACCCTCGCACAGGGGCCATGCTGGCCGTTCCAGTTTTAGTATATGTGCTATAGAAGTGAGCAAGCACTTAACTTTTTTTTTTTCATGCCTGGATGAATCTTCCATTTTCTGGCTAGCACCATCATCTCTACCAAGACCAAAGAATTTCTTGTTCCCTCCTCACCCCACGGTACACAGTCCTATGATTAATTCTCTTGAGTAAACAGTTGGATACTACTGTGGCTATTTCTGTAGGATAAATTGCTCAAATTGGGATTGGTGAGTTACAGGGAACATGAGATTTATTTTTGCCTTAAAACAGCAAAAATTTATTGTGCAATTCTGGAGACCAGAAGTTAGACACCATCTCACCAAGCTAATCCCAAGGTGTTGGCAGGGGCTGAGCACAGTGGTTCACCCCTGTAATCCCAGCACTTTGAGAGGCTGAGGCAGGAGGATCACTTGAGGCCAAGAGTTTGAGACCAGCCTGGGCAACAGAGTGAGACCCCGTCTCTACAAAAAAAAAACACAATTAAAATTTTTTAGCTGGGTGTGGTGGTGCACAGCTGTAGTCCCAGCTATTTGGGAGGCTGAAGCAGGAGGATCACTTGAGTCCACGAGGTTGAGGCTACAGTGAGCCAAGATCTCATCACTGCACTCCAGCCTGGACAACAGGGCGAGACTCTATCTCAAAAAAAAAAAAAAAAAAAAAAGCATTGGCAGGGTTGCATTCCTTCTGTAAACACTAGGGGGAAAATTGTTCTGTAGCTCATGGCCCCTTCCCCCATGTGGTGGCTCACACCTGTAATCCCAGAAATCCCAGCACTTTGGGAGGCCAAGACGGGGAGATTGCTTGAGCCCAGGAATTCAAGACCAACTTGGGCAACATGGTGAAACTCCATCCCTAGTAAAAATACAAAAAGTAGCCAGGTGTGGTGGTGCACACCTGTTGTCCCAACTACTCAAGAGGCTGAGGCAGGAGGATCACCTGAGCCTTGGAAGGCAGAGGCTGTAGTGAGCCATGATCTTGCCAGCCTGAGCAACAGAGTGAGACCCTGTCTCAAAAAAATGAAACACATTTTATATGATCTAAAAAAAAGATTCTAAAATGCATGTGGAAAAGTCCAAGAATTGCTGAGACAATTTGGAAAAATATGACAAGTAGGGAAGAATTGTCATATTGTAAATGAAAACACTTAAGTTACATAATATTAAAATAGTGTGGTGGCCGGGCATGGTGGCTCATGTCTATAATCCCAGCACTTTGGGAGGC